AAAAAAAAAATTTGTCCCGACGATCTATCTTCTATACGCAAATGGCTACCATATTGAAAAATATACTATTTTTGTATGATAATTATGGGTTTTGTATTTTATTTTAATAGAAGTTGATATTGCTTTTGCAATTATCCATCAATTTTTTAAAATTAAACACTATCTACAGATTTGCATCGAAGCGTTTCTTATGATAGTGATTTGAATCACTGTCAGATTAAATCTATACTGGACCCTACTATGCAATGTCTCCACTATGCCGCGACCCCACTGTGCTACCGTTTTTTTTATTATATTAATTAGAAAGATTTTTTTATTGTTTAGGCTATATACGAAAGTCTTATTGCCGATTTGAAATAGGTGCAAAAATGGGTTTAGAAAAGTATATTTTTGTCTCGGATAAAAATTCCTTGTAGACCAGTAAATTCATTTATAAATAACAAACAATTTTTTTTTTTAAGTATTGCATCAAGAACTTCAATTTTTATATACGTTTGCCATAAAAATAATAACTATTTTATAATTTTTTATAAATTCTCCGTAAAAATTACAATATTAAATTATTAAATATTAATTTCATACTATATTTAATTGCTATAATAAATATTTATACATATATTACACTTATAAAATATAAAACTTGTAACCAGGATATAAATAAGAAAATAAGAGATCATGTTGCTTTTGGAATAATCCATCATTTTTTTTAATTATACTCTATCTACAGATTTGAATCAAAGCGTTATGTATGATATTGACTTAAATCATTGTCGGATTAAATCTATACTGGATTCAACTATGCCACGTCCACACTGTGCTGGGTTTTTTTTTTATTATGATTTAGTAAAACTAAAAGATCTTAGTCTACCGTTAGATAAGAATATTATGAGGATTTTTTTATTAAAAATAATCGAATAAATATAGTTAGAGCGCATTAAAAATGTTTGATTACTACCATTCAATGATTTTTACAAGATCACTTATGGGTGGTCATAATAATCATTTACATGAGATCAATTTGAAATACAATTGTAAATCTATTGTGTTTTAAATCAGTAAGAAATTCTTAACGTATTTTATTATTTTTTAGGATTTTTTCCTTATTATTATTATAGTTATTATTTGGTTCTTATAAATTTATTACACTATCATAATTCATGTTTAACAATTTTGTGATATTATTCTTATAGAAAAACCGCCTAATCAAGTTTTACAATTATTTTCCGTAAAGGATTTTAAATGTTAATTTGAAATTTCTAATATTAAGAAGAATATATAGGCCAAAAAGATATAATATCACACAACAATAAGAAAGTAGAAGCAACATAGAATTACAACAACTGTATAAAGAACCGGATATAGTACCAGTATTACGTTATAGAAGAATCGCATGGGCTGGCTACATATGAAGGTCAAATAGCCTAATGAAAGCAGCGATATTAAATTGGAATCCCTGTGGGAAAAGACCACTAGGCAGACCAAAACAAAGATGGATTGATAAAATAAAAAAGATTTTAGAAGAAATTGGAAACAGAGGCACAGGATAGAGACAAATGGAGGAAATCTGTGTTGCAGTAATGAGCCTCAATGGCCTTTGAAATGCTGAAAGAAGAAGAAAGGATTTTAAATATTATGTCAGGTCATGGCCTAGTCAGATCTGTTCTAGTTTCACCTAGATCGTCCACTGGTGTGTTGTTAGTTATTATCGAGGTGGACATAATGCCCATGCACTCAAACCTGTTGGTCCATTGTGCGCTGGTGTGTTGTTAAATTTCATTTTAATCTAGATATTTTTTAAATACATAATTTTAATATCTAGATGAATTCTTCATTAGTTATTGATGTAATAATTTAAATACCTGAATTTACTTTATTTTAAACTCTATTGCTGTATTGGGCACTTTATTATCCGGCAATCGTCAAAAACCCTAGGATATATTTCAATGGAGGCTCATAAGCTATAAGTCCTTAAACCAACTTAATATAACACATAACTTTAGATGCCGAGAATACAAACATAAACCAGGTCGACATAGGATGATTGAATTAATATAAGGCGGCATTGGAAACCATAACTTTAAAATGACTATTTTTATATAAAGTACTGACATTTTTTATCAACATTTTGTTGATAGTTTTAGTAAATATGAGTAAAATGATCATTGTAGGTAGTCACCTAAATTTCTGATCAGGGGTTTAATTTGAACCTGATTTTTAATTAATAATTTTAATATGTTGTAGATAAATAGAAAAAGTTATATAAGAAATATAACTAAAGTTTTTCATTACTTCAGATTTGAATATAGAGTCGTTAATATAAAAACTTTTACTTTATAAATTAAACATGATAAAGCACGTTTATGTTAAAGAGATGCTCTTTGTATTTGGCTACTTATCAATAAGAAAAAATTTTTATGCATCTGTGGCTTATAAAAAAATAGTTCAATTATTAGATTAGATTTTTTTATTTAACAAAGTATACATTTAAAAACGAAAATAATTAAATAATATAAGTACATACTATTGTCAACAATTCTTAACATAAGTATAAATCACAATCTATAAACAAAAAACCAAACATTTATTAGATTAATTTCAGGCTAGTTAATTAAAATTATTTTTCACCCTCATCAATTAAAAATAAAATTATAACAAAATAATGAGACATTTTAAATGCATATAATAATTAACGCAATACAAATATTTTTAACCGCTAAAATAAAACGAATTATATACTGTTGTGAATATTGAAATTATATTTTTGTATGTTCAGAGCTGTATAAGAGTTTAAACAAAGCTAAACAATAAGTATTTACAAAATTAATTTTATGAATAATACATAAAAATTACTTACAAGTAAGTTATATTTTACCTAATTATAAATGAGATGGGTAAGAGTAAATTGGTGGTATAGATGAGCTGTAATTATAATTATATAGCTGTGATTTGATGAATTCGATTTTATCTTCTGGTTCTGGATAAGTACTAGCAACACCGGTTGCATAAGCGTATTCCATTACTTTTACAGCAATTTTCAAAGAACATTCCTTAATTGATTGAAGTGGAGGATATAAACTGCCATTGTCTAAGTCTTCTTCAGTTACTAGAGCAGCTAATGTCTAAAAATTTAATTAGAAATTACTAAAATGCCTTTAACTAAAAAATAGCTTATACAAATTTAATTTACTTGAGCAGCAATTATAAAAACTTCATCTGTAATTGTTCTTACTCCAGCACAAATTACTCCTAGTGCTACACCTGGGAAAATGTATGAATTATTACCTTGACCAGGATAATATGTTTTGGATTTGTAAGTTACAGGATTGAAAGGTGAACCACTAGCAAAAACGGCTTTTCCCTATTTAAAAATTCAAAAAATAAAAACACTAATTTTTTAGTGTACTGTAAAAATATGTTTGGTGTTTTATACTTACATTAGAATATGTGTAAGCTTGTTCTGCTGTGCATTCAGCTTTGCTAGTTGGGTTACTTAGAGCGAAAATTACTGGGTGAGAATTATAAGAAGAAATTTCTTGAATAATTTCTTTATTGAATACTCCCCCAATGGCAGCAGCACCAATGAGTACTGTAGGTTTTACTTTCCTGATTGCTTCAGATAATACTTTTATTGGTGATACGTTTTTAGCATATTCAATTTTATGACCAGTTACACCGCCTTCTGGTCGGTCTTTAACAACTAAACCTTTAGAGTCAAAAAGCCAGATTTTAGAACGAGCTTCTTCCAATGTCGTACCTTCTTTAAGCATAGCCATTACACACAATTCAGCAATTCCAAGTGCAGCCTATAAATAATTTTTAAAGTAAAAATGTTGTTTATTTAATGTCATTATTGATTTTTTTGACAGTAAATAAAATCTTTAATTACTGTCGTAAAATGCTTCCATACATATTTGAAACAAATTTAAATAGAAATTATCATATTTTTTAAAATTATACGATTTTTGAATTAGGAGCCCGATTATTAATAGAGAACAAAGTCATTGTAACGTTTTTTTTTTTTAACAAGCTTTAATTCGAAATAATTTAGAATATAGCGAGTATTCCGTTACTTCTCAAAAAAAAATTCAAAATCGATTAATTTTACCGAAAATGTATTTTTTCCTGCTTTAGTGGCTCATAACTCCTACAAATTAATATTTCAGATGACTTTTTTTACCTTAAATTACAATGTATTAGCTATAAATTAATATATGTTTAAAAAAGATAAGTTTTTTGGACATTATCAAAAATTAAAAATCAAAAAAATTTGATATGATTTTTATGCCTCCACTTAACATTACTTAATTAGAGAATTTTCAAAAACTCATTAAAGTTAAAAACAAGATATCTTATTTTTCCTCGCCTTATCCCAACTGCTTGGGATCGGCCAACAAAAGTTTTAACAAAGTTAAAAACAAGATATTATTAAACAAAAAAAAATTTTCGATACATAACATATCATTCAGCTACGCATTGAAACTAAAATGATAGCGTTCTGTTTATTATTAAAATATTTAATTTACCTCACCAGCGCCTTGAAATAATATCACATTATCGGATAATCGAGTTCTTGTTATTCTCAATGACGCAAATAGCCCAGCCAATGCCACCGATGCTGTACCCTGAATATCATCGTTGAACGTACAATAACTTTTACGATATTTGTCTAAGAAACGGAAAGCATTGGAATTCGCAAAATCTTCAAACTATATAAGTATTTGAAGTATAAATTTTACATTATATATTAAGTTCAAATTTATATGTACTTATAACTTTTATGAAGTTATTCCAAACACATCATTTACAGTCAGTACAAAATTTTTATTTATAGGCTTGAAAGCTTAGTAATGTGTTCTAACTGGGATTTAGTGTTGGGGGAGTTTAATTTTCCCTAAAACAAATTAATTTTTATACTACTGTATATTCCACCACAGTGGCGGATTTCCAACATTTTTCTGAAGGAGAGAGGTCCTAAAGAATTAAATATACTTGGAATATGTATCAGAGTGTTACATCACATATTAAATAATATAAAAATATTGTTGTCTGGGGAGTTCAGACCATTCAGACTCCCCCCTCCCCGCAAAAATTCACAACTGTTCTACCAATAAATTTGGACAAAAAAAATTTATAAATACATATAAATCTTGACTATAATAATATATTTTAATAATATTCAGACATAATAATTGATTAAAATGTATAAATTTACTTGAATAAGACAATTTTGACCATAACGTTTCACAGCAGCTTGCATAAATTCATCAATAAAATCATCATAATCTTTGCCTGTTACGCGTTTCTGTTTACTGCCAATGTAATGAGGATCATTCAAAAGAGTCTATGGAAAACAAACTCATGACATTTTGACACATAAAGGTAAGGTAAAGAACGCTCACTTGAGTATTGGTGCCACAATCTAGAGTTACGGGCAGACATTGGTGTGGTTTGATACCAGCGAGTGCTGTATACAAAGCTAATTTTCCAACTGGGATGCCCATTCCATTTACCCCAAGATCACCAAGACCAAGAATACGTTCGCCATCAGTTACAACTATAGCTCGAACATCTTGTTCAGGCCTAAAATATAAAAATGTAGTGTAAGTGAAAGACATTTTAAATTAAATTTATAAAAATATCATATAGCATATATTGGAAGGACAAAAGAACTATACCTAATAACACTAGTCTAATATGTAACTTTTTAAGTTCGAAATTAATTATTGCAATAATCCAATGATTCAACTTTTATAATTCTACTTGCTATGGCATAATGACTACTATTTTTCTCAAAATTATATATAATTTTCTGTTTCTTATTTAACTTTACACTACTTAAAATATCCGTTACTTATTTATTGTTTTTTATGATAGTGATTTTAATCACTGTCAGATATCACCTACATTAAAATTAAAATAATTTAACTAAATATATATTAAAACAATAATAGTAACCATCTTTACACATAAATTCAAGATAGTTAGATAGATGGTTCTTCAAATATACTTAATTGATATTTCCTGGAAAATGTGCACTGAACGTTCTTAGTTGAACTATAATTAAGCCCACAATAATACAATTTATTATAGCTTAGATCTTCTTAATAAGAATTATTTTAGCTTCGATGCGAAGCTGAGAAGGTATTGGTTTTACTAAAATGTGTTTTTTTTTTTTTTTTTTGTGTCTGTTACCCCTTTTTCTCAACTCTCACCGAACCGATTTCTTTCAACGATACGTCAAAAGATCATAAATCGTATCTAGTCGAAGACATTACCCTTAAAAATTGAAAAAATTTCCCTCGTTCCCCGTAAATGGGGGAAACCTCCAAAAAAATTACAAATTTAAAAATCGCTAATTTTCGAAATTTTCGAAATTTTTTTTACTAAAAACTGCCGTAACTTTTTTAAAAATGAACATATCAATATAATTTTTATTTTTATAGATTTTTCATGTCTTTACCTATCATTTGGTATATTTTTTTTATAAATCTGACTTTTTACCTGCCCACAAGGGGGGACTTAAAATGACAACTTTTTCACAAAAAATTGACTTTTTCAACTTAACTTTTGAAAGTGTTTTGGAAGGTCTGGCACTTTTATATATATCTTAAATTAAAGCTAATGTAATATACTTTATAATGGTAATAAAAAATTTCGGACTTTATTTTATCTTCATGGTGAAAACAGACATTAAACTTAATAAAAAAAATACGATTTTTGTAAAAAAATTCTTTTTTATATTTTTAATTTTATAATCCCCTCAGGGGTGTGCTAAGCAATTAGCACTACGGGTTTGGCGAACCCGGGGCCCCGAGCCCTGAGATTACCTTAATTGGTTGTCTCAGTTTTGGTCCTCCAGTTTGGGGGTTTGGCGGTGGGCTAACAACTCACCCCAGTAAAAAAAAACAGTGTTAAGAAACCTATCACTACTAAGCCTCGGAATACAACAGATAATTTGGGAAATAGAATTGGAACTGGAACAGGAAAATCTGGAATATTTCGATTTGGGATAAGATCCCTGTATAAGCCAGGGGTCCTAAAATGCATTACTGGTATAATTAAAGAATATAATGTAGATTTAGTAGCCCTCCAAGAAGTAAGATGGTCAGGTTCGGGACATCTTAAATCAAATAACATGACAGTTTTTTATAGTGGAAACGATAATGGAAGACACGAGTACGGAGTTGGTTTTATAGTGAAAGAGTCTTTAATAAAAGTAGTAAAGAAATTCGAAGCAGTAAATGATCGATTATGCTATCTAATAATTGATGGGAAGCCTTTTAACATAGCAATAATCAACTGTTATGCACCAACAGAAACGGCAGACAATGATTATAAAGACTCCTTTTATGACAACCTAGAAAGGGTATTCGACTTAATACCTAGAAACTGCGTAAGAATTGTAGTTGGGGATCAAAATGCCCAAGTTGGACGAGAACATGTGTTTAGATATACTATAGGAAAGGAAAGTATGTACATTGAAAGCAATGATAATGGATTGAGATTAATAAGCTTCGCCTCAACCAAAGGATTAGTAATAAGTAGCACCCAATTCCAACGGAAAGAAATTTACAAACAAACCTGGGTGTCTCCAGACGGAAAAACTAAAAGCCAAATTGACCATATACTTATAGATAAAAGATATAGAACTAGTGTTAGACAAGTAAGAAGCTATAGAGGGGCAGATGGAGACACAGACCATTACCTTGTCATAGCATCTTTTAAAATCAAACTGGCTAATAGTTGGAATCAGAAAAAATTAAATAGTAAAACACGCCTGGAAATAGAGAAAATTAAAGATCACGAAAGAGCCAAAACATACCGACAGAATCTAGATAACGAACTTATGGAAAAATCTCATAATGCAGTACAAAACATTGATGAAAGATGGAACATAGTTAAAAACTCAATTAACAAATCATCTGAAATATTTAAAAAAGAAAACACATCCCATGTTAAAAACTCATGGTATAATGATCGGTGCAGAGAAGCCATAGGAAAACGCGCAGAAGCAAGAATAAAAATGATACAAGACCCATCTCCTAATAATACAGAAGAATTTATTAAAACCAAAAAAATAGCAAATAAAATATTGAGACAGGAAAAAAGAGCAGCGGAAAAAGAACTTATCCAAAAAATAGAAGTACATAGGCTCAACCCAAGATTATTCTTTAAAAAATGTAGATCAATAAAGGAAGGTTTTAAAGCTCAAACCCGTATTGTCAAGGACCACGATGGATATTTGATTACGAATGAAGAGGGTATCATCCAAAAGTTTCAAAAGCACTTTGAGAATATTTTAAACATTGACCACGATGATACGAATGAAGATGAATGCGTGATGTATCATACGGCACAACCTCTCCTTGAGGAACCAAGTCATAAAGAAGTCGAGGATCTTATCGGGATTTTAAAAAACAACAAAGCCCCCGGAGAGGATAATATTAATTCTGAGTTATTAAAGATCGGTACTAAACAACTTGTAAATAAAATACATGGACTTTTAAAAGAAATATGGAATACCAATCGTATACCTGAAGATTGGAAAACAGCCATCATTTGTCCCATTTTCAAGAAGGGTGATCCCATGGACACAGGTAATTATAGGGGAATCATCACACTATTAGACTCCTGCTACAAAATTCTATGGCGATACTACGAAGGTTGGAAGTATATTCCAAAGATATAATTGGAGACTATCAAACTGGATTTATAAGAGGAAAGTCCACCTCTGACCATATATTCACTATAAGGCAAATAATGGAAAAATTTTATGAATTTGGAAAGGATATCCACATGTGTTTTATAGATTTCAGACAGGCATACGACAGTATTAATCGAGAGAAACTGTGGATGGTACTAGAGGAATTTGGAATCCCAAAAAAACTTATCCATCTGATAAGAGAATGCTACAAACATACCTTGTGCAAGGTAAAGTTTGGCAACGGTTTATCGGAGAGCTTTGAAGTTAAAACTGGCCTTAAACAGGGTGATGCACTATCACCAGTCCTTTTTAATTTGGCGCTTGAAAAGGTGGTCAGATCAATGCCAATGAGTCAAGGCATGGAGATTCTGTTCAAAAATACGCTCCTTGCCTATGCAGACGACATAGTTATTATAGGAAATACCCTACAAGAAGTAGCGACAAGAACAAATTATTTAATTAGAGCAGCAAAGCCAATGGGCCTGGAAGTAAACCAGGGAAAACCAAAATATTTAGTCATGACGAGAGGAACAAGGGACAACTCTCACCTAGTAGTTGAAAACTATACTTTTCAACAAGTGAGTGATTTTAAATATCTTGGGGTAAACATAAGCCAACAAAATAATATGCACAACGAAATTAAAATAAGGATATCTGCCGCTAACAAGGGTTACTATGCTTTAGAAAAATTATTCAAATCAAAACTTCTTTCTAGACGATCAAAGGAACGACTATACTCAAGCTTCCTACGGCCAGTGTTAACATATGCGTGTGAAACATGGTCAACAACTAAAGGAGATGAGGAAAAAATGGCTTGTTTTGAAAGAAAAGTACTCAGAAGGATATATGGACCTATTTTAGAAAATGAAGTGTGCAGAAGAAGAACTAATAGAGAAATACAACAAATTTATCGAAAACCTGGTATTAACGCTTTCCTCATGAGCAAACGAATTGAGTGGGCAGGGCATGTATGGAGGTCAAATGGAATTTTAAAGAAAGCACTAGAGGGAAAAATAAATGGGAAAAGACCTAGGGGCCGCCCAAGACAGCGCTGGATAGACAGGGTCAATGATGACCTTAACAAATGCAACCAGGAAGTGACGATAGCAGACAGCGTTGATAGAAATAGGTGGAGGAATGTAGTAGAGGCAGCGAAAGTCCTTCAAGGACTGTAAAAGCTGAAGAAGAAGAANAGGACTTTAAGGACTGTTTAAAGCTGAAGAAGAAGAAGAAGAAGAATTTTATAATGCTATAACTTTTTGAAAGATGTATGGATCAATATAATTCTTTTTTTTTGTAAATGCATGATATCTTTACCTATCATTTGGTATATTTTTTTTATAAATCTGACTTTTTACCTGCCTACAGGGGGGGGATTCAAAATGACAACTTTTTCACAATAAAATTGACTTTTTCAACTTAAATTTTGAAAGTGTTCCGGAAAGTCTGACACTTTTATATAAATCTTAAATTAAAGCTAATGTAATCTACTTTATTATGTAAAAAAAAAATTTCGGACTTTATTTTGTCTTCACGGTGAAAATGGCTACCAAATGCTATTATTGTGTGAAAATTCTCAATTTTATTTTTTACATTTTTAACTTAATAATGCTATAACTTATTGAAAAGTGTATTGATCAATATAATTTTTTTATGGGAAATACTATTTTTTAATATACCTTTTTTCATTCGACATACTTTATCTTAATCAGGATATTAATAAGGAACTAGCAGTTTATGAAGCTTTTGGAATAATCCACCAATTTTTTAAAATTAAACACTATCTAAAGATTTGCATCGAAGCGTTTTTTTTTGATAGTGATTTTAATCACTGTCGAATATCATTATACTTGATCCAACTATACCACGTCACCACTGTGCCGCGACCCCCCCGTGCTGGGTTTTTTTTTCACTTCTCTCAGTTCAAACATTTTCATCTATTAATTAGATGAGTTAGGTTATATTTGCAGGTAGGAAAAGTCTTTTTTTCACATATTTTAGATTATAAAAATGGACACATTCAATCTAAATGTTAGAGCGCTTAAAGTGAATAGAATAGTCAACTAAATTAATAAATTGCAATTTCTTAAAATTGTTTGATATATTTTATTATAGTAAATAAATATCGAAACTGTCTAAATTCAAAATACTATTGCTTTTTGACCTAAGACAATTTCGTGATTGTTTTCTTTTAATTGTATAGAGTACTTGAATTTATTAAAAAGTTATTTTAAGTTAATTTTCATTATAACTATTTATATTGCCTTTATTTTTAAAAATAAACATGTAATTCCATAAAATACGATATTATCTAACGCGAAATTTTTATGATCCTCTATTTCATTGAATGAAGGAAAATATAATAAGTACCAGTTTTTGAGTACGTCATAAACGTGACCGGCATCATGGATTGATATAAACAGTCCTCTAGGTTTTTGAAAAATTAGACCATATTTTTGACAAGCTAATCCAACGGTAGGGGTATATACTAAAGGCATAAAAGCTTCAACATTTTCAGCCATTAATCTATAGAAAAGCTTTTCATTTCTTTCCTATTTAACAAGAAGTAAAAGATTAACGTATAAACGCGGTACTATTGACCATTTACCGTACATGCTTACTTGTAAACCCATTAAATAAATATATTTGTTTAAATCGTCTGAATAACGTGCAATATTTGCTAAAGCTTGTTCAACTTGTTCATCTTGAGTTTTGACACATGGTGGTAATAGCCCAAGAATTCCTAAGGACTGCCTTTCCTCTATTGTGAATGCTAATCCCTGTATAAATGAAAATTTTCTTTGAATAAATTATCCTATAATTATTTGTTTAACCAAATTAAAATAACATGATCGCGAGTTTTAGAAATGCTAAAAGCTTCAACAGTCACTTAATGACAGAGTGCCTCAGTGAGCCTAGCCCATCTTAAAATACTTTGGTGCGTTGGTTTAGCCACCTTTAAATAAAAATAAAAATATTTTTATGGTATTTGTTAAAAATTATAATTGCTTCCCTCTTTCAAGATTGAAATGGCGCTATTTTATTAATCCCTGTCAGATTTGGTTCAAATATGTCTTGTCCTCACTTTACTGAGTCTCCGCTGTAATGTTTTTTTAGCATAAAAATGTTAATAAACGTGTTTAGATAAAAATGAGTTTATCTTATAAAATAGTATCTAAATATGTCCATAAATAAAAATGCTATTATTTGAAACTCTAGCAAGATATTTGTCATAGCAGCAAGCTACCTTTTTTGAGGTCCGCGGAAAAAGATTTATGTAGATCTCTTTAGCTACACAAGAGGCTGCAAGGATGTCAAAAATTTGACAACAAGGCTTCTTACAACGTAGCCTGCAGGGTATCCCATCTTTAACTATATGTTAAATTTAACCACTATATCAAACTATTAATACTTCGTCTCCCTTAATCCCTATTACATCCCAAATTGAGCAATATAGTAATATTCAAATTAATAACCGCGTATTAGTTACATAGAAGATTCAAATTAAAATTAATTTAAAAGAATAAAACCAATGGTTACTCCTGAAATACCTCTTCATTTACTTAATATATATAATTAGAGAAAATTATTAAATTTAGTATGGTTTAATTAAAAATAATATAAAAAATTGTCTTTGATTGAGTGCTAATTTTTAGATATAAATATTATTGATTAAAATCTAAACAATATTTTTATAAATTTAAGATCTTAGTTGAGTGAAAACTCGATTATTATTATACATCACGTAAAATTAAATATATTAATTTATAAGTTCATATTTTTAAATATTTGCCTTTGTAACGCCCTTGCTTGCTAGAGACACTGACCTTTGATCCCGTTGCACGTCTTAATACCGACTACCTAATTAACTATAAACGTCGTTGAAAACAAAAATACCGTGTACTTCTTGTATTGTTGTTAGAATACTTAACATGTTAAAATTCATAAATGTTTATAAACTTCGATTATGTCTATGGGTATAATAAACTAAAACAGAAACAACAATATATAGAGTGTTCAGTAAATAAGGAAACGGGCTCTTATTTTTGTCATTGTTTGTAACAATTGATCTGTTTCCTTACTTACTGAACACTCTGTATTTTAAGTTAAGTAAACAATGATCGGTGTATAATAATCGGAGAAGTGTTCCATTGCATCAAAGAACCATAATGGTTTTATAATTTATAGAAACTAGTTTTGCTTTTGTTATGTATCGGAAATATAAAAACATTGTAATTATATTAAATGACCTTACACTAGTTTTATTCATTATACTATACAGAATTAATGACCTAGAGCATTCTTTAAACTAAAATGTTATTGTTTGGTAACTCGATATTAAATAGAGTATTTATGTATCGTATCAGTTAATAAATTTTTAATTTTTATTCATTTTGATACTAATAATAATGTTATCTAAAAATTCTTAAAGAAATAATTTAAAGTTTTTAATATTGTATTGATTTATAGGTTTTTATAAATAATTTCAAAACAATTATTATTTAAAATAAAATTTTATAATATATTTTCAACGGCACCAGGATAGGTCATCTTGGATATTTGTTATAAGTACGGCGTTTAATAAAAAGAGGTTGTTTTTCAATGATCACTTTTAAAAATATATATATATTTTAGACATTGTATAAAGCCTGTCCAAATTTTCAAACTATATTTAATTTAACCAGATAAAGTACCTTATAACAATATCTAATAAAATTTATTAAAAGTTTGAAATTCAGATTTTTAAAATAGTACACTTTTATAGAAAGGCAAATTAACAAGGTACAAGTACCAAGTTTGTTATAACTAAACTATAAATAAATCATAGTTATTTAAATTGTTGCTTAAAAAGTTTAGAGTTACACTGGAAAAATATTACTTATTGTAGTACAATGCAATTTAAGTCTATTATGTGATACAAAAATAGATTTGTGTGAGGGCAAAGCTCCTTACGAATCAATATTTTTAGTATCCCGAGTTTTTAGCTGAACATGTATATCTATACAGAGAAAGAATGACTACGGATGTAAGGAGGCAATTGATGAAAGTCGCTATGAATATTGTAATAAAGCCGGCTATATCTAATAAAAACTTATGCATAACATATTATCAATATATAATATTTATTATAAATATGTCTGTATGTACTGAATTTTCATAATTAAAAAAAATAAAAAAATGAGATTTTAAAATGAACTTTTTTTTTGCGATACAAAAATCCTTTGATAAGAACAAAACCACCGTCCGTACATGCCTCTGTGTGTTTTTATACATTTAAATTGTAAAGATAAACAATTTGATCATAGCTCATAATTATTTAGGTTTTTGTTTTAATAAACAATTTTAAAAATTTCTTCAACAAATTCGAAGATCATCAATACAAATCGAAATTGTTGAAATTAATTGATTCCGTTAATCGATAATTGTGCATTCTTAAATTATCGAGTTTCAACAAGATATAATTTTTATATTTTTAAATTAAGCACAATGATATTGGTGTCAGTAAAATTAGAGTAAATTTGAATAAAATATACATATATTATATCATAAAACTTCTATTTTTATTTAAAACTATAATTTTTTCATAATGTATGTGTGTATATTTAAGATTAACCATAGAACTTTATTTTATATTTTAATTTTCATAAAAGTTGAAAAATGCTTAAATTAAATTTTGATAATTTATCGAAAGTTCACAATTCAGTACTTGTGTACTGTATACCGTTCTGTATAAAACCAAGACTTTTTATAGCTAAATACCGAATATGTAATATAGATATTACTGGTCATTGTTTATTTTTGCAATTATATAATTTATGTCTTATTTATGTTTTATATTTAGATAAGCTCATTAAAGTACTCATAAGTTTTTTAATAATAACTAGCGAAAAACTAATAAAAATAAATTGAGTGTAACTGACTTAAGATAATGATTCTCAAATCATTTTTTTATTTAATAAAAAATATACCTATTACATAAATTAATTATAGGGTCACACAATACATTCCTACCGATTTTATCATTTTATGTAATCATTTATCAGTACGTTATATGAGCTAACTGATTATTATAGTACCCAAAGAATTAAAGTTTCCGACAATATTAATATCCATTATAGTGAATCTGTGCTAAAACAATTATCTTATGTAATTGGTATTGGCATGACGTGGTTAAACAAGTAGTCACTGAGTAACTGTAAGATCTAGTCAACATGTAAGTTATAAGGCTAAATGAAGTTGTTGTTTGAAATCTAAAACCTTTTAAGAGAACCGAGTTGAACTCACAATATTTTATTGATAATAAGTAAAAATATATTTTATGTAATTTATCGATATTATATTATTTAAATATTTTATACAAAATAAAGTACATGAAAATACTATGATGATTTTTTTTTTATTTTTTTAAATAATTATGCAAAGTCACGAGTGTAATAAAATATTGCGTCTTTCTACTTATTTTATTATTATTAACACATAAGTATAAATTTATATTCAAATTAGTTTGTAGGCTTGGATTTAGCATTGTACTGCAAATAAACATTATGCACATAAGTTCGAATTGTGTTATGAGTGTATGGGCCAACTTGTGGTTTAACTACTACAAACATTAAAAACGGCCCCCCATGTAAGGTTATACTTTCATATTTCCTTCGACTATTTGTTACACTATAAACAGTTTTTGTGCACCCGTATTAGTTGTTATTGATTTAAATTATCGTTATATAAGCTGAAAGTAAAAGTTTTAAAAACTATAGATAAAAAATATCGATCTAATTTAACAGTTTTTAAAAATTTTGAATATTAATTTTTTTCAATCTATAGTTTCTACAACTATTTAACAATTTATTATTGAAAATAAAAAATCTGTCATCACAAAACTTATGAAATTTATTAGATATAATTAATTATAGCGAAAGAATGTAAGTTATCTTATCATTCTTACTTTATTTTTTCCAGAGTTGTCATTAAATTATTTTTTTATTTAGTTTTACGTTAAAAATCTAATAACTGCCTGTCAAATCATTCGAGTAGAATATTATTCGTTAAGTTTAAATAACACTCATTAGTTTTTACACAACTACATTAAGTGTTACGTCATTTTTCAATTACGAATGGAAAATTGTATATCTAAAATATATGTTTGATATTGACAAACAAAATTCATGATTATGTGACAAAATATACCAGTAGTTTTAGCAGAGATAATTTGTTGATTAAAAATAAATTATATCATTAAGCAGAGGCAGGAAATAATGATAAAAACCGAAAATGATTTCTCAGTTCCTATCCCTAATAAAAGAAATTTTACGATTTCAACATCAATTTGATTTAAGTTCTATCTTTTTTACTATAAGCCTTGATATATTTTTATTCCGCGTTAATGAATAAGATTTAACTTAACCTTAACTAATATCATAATAGGATCTAAATTTTTTCATCACGATTTCATGAACCTTAAAAGAATGAATGCATACCATAATTTTTATATTAAATAACAACCTTGATCTATTAAAGCAGTATTGCATGGTTGTTAAATTCAGGTACACTTTCACCAGGAAATCATTCATTATTTGATGACTAACATCAAAAGCTTATTAGAAAATCATTCATTGTGATTATGGATCACAATTAAAAATTTAATAACTAGAACAACAAGGTTGTTTATCTTTTTTATCATCAAGAAGGGAAATTCAAAATATAGCTACGAAAAATATTTTTTAAAACAAAATAACAATCCATAGGTGTTATCTAATTATATTAATTTTATCATAAAACGAAATAATTATAATTGTAAGAAACAATTTTTATAATTATTAGTCTGAATACTTTGTTATAGATGTATATAAGAAAACATTTAAAGATTGACGTTCATTTCTGAAAATCATATAATTATATTTATTTTGATATCAAAATGTGTAGATCAAGTCTATTATAGCAACTTTAATGTCTATCATTAAAAGTCACATCATCTTAAAATATTTTTATGTGCATAATTTTAATGATTCTGGTACATCACGAATGACCGTCACGGTTAGGTGAGCTGAAAAAGTAAAAATTTTCTGGTGAACTTTGATAAGATTAAATTTCTTAGTCAAAGTCACAAGTACGTTATGGTTTCAAGGGCAAACACGTACACTAATATGTATCTTAATTTTGTTTCTCTGAAGCATTACGAATACAGTTTATAAAAAATTTAATTTACTACTGATAACCCTACCGTAATGTTAATTGTTTTCAATTACTCTTATATCTGTCATTGACTAAGCCTAACCTATCGCATTGTTAATATTTCAATTTTATATTCTAAAGGTTTGTACAAATTTTTAGTATATAAAATTATAAATAATTATATAATTAAAATTTTATTAAGAATAATACTTAAAAAATATCTGGTTGTTCAGAATTGTATAATAATATATTCGCTTTTTAAAATGTATATTTTTCAGACTCTTAAACTCATTTAAATATAATATAAAATATTTATTGATCAATGCTCAACATGTTCTTATTTTTGTGTGTTAAAAGTCAAAACTAATTGCCGAAAGTTGATAAGGTCGTTTAATTCACCTTCAAAATCTCAACAACTTTTAGAAAATTAAGAGCAACAATTGCATATACAATTAATGTACTTTATAACTTTTTATGAAATAAAAATATATTGAGAATTTATAAAAGTAATATGTTTTCTATTCTATTACTATAACATGATAAAATAAATAAAAATTATTATTTATTGAAAAGTTAACTTCTCAGAGACAACTTAATGTAAAATAAAGTTCTTGCTATAATTGTTAACAAATAAAAATTCTTCATATCAGATATTTGAATATACTTAATTTGATCTTAGTTAAATAACTTTTTTAATTATTTAATGGAATCATTAAAAATAGTTTAATAGTTTTGTGTTAATACTACATAATGCAAATAAATATTAATGTAGCGTTCAGAACAGGTTTTTATTAAAAGCTACCCAGAGTTATTTCTAATCACTGGATTATCGTGATTTTCAAGTTAAGTAAATAAACTAAGGTTTAAAGTTATCATTTATTTTTAAATAAAATTTCCTATATTAACAATCGAGAAAAGTCAAAATTACTTATCCCAATCATTAATCATATCGCGACTTTATACTAATTAAAATACTTAAAATTATTTTAATATATTTCACTAAGTTTATTTTTATAGGAAGAACAATTTTATTTATTTTTATATTATAAAAATTATTCTAGTATGCGCAAGAAGATTTGAGTGATCACTTAATTAATCTTTTTATTTTTGTGTATAGCAATTAAATTATTTTGAAATTACTAAAATAAAAATAATTTTGTAGATTTAAGTATTATAAATTAACAAAAACTATACTTTTGCTACAAAAACTATTATTAACAATATTTCCAACTTTAAAAAAAAACTAAAAAGATCTTAGAAATAAAAAGATCTGTTAAACAATAAAAAGTTATCTTAAAATTTAAAATGATGATCAAATTCGTAAGTTATTTTAACAGTTCTTGAAATATTTGTAAAAGAGTTATCATTACAAGTTTATAATATGTGTTTATAGAAATGCTGTATACTTAATACATCTTTATAATGGTCATTAGTTATTAGATAACTTAGCACTGTACTAAAAATCTGCTAATTTAAATTTAAGTGTGCTAACATAAATTATAACTCAAAAAGAAACTATTACATTTATTAATTTTATATTCTTTAAAATCAATATTTAAATAATTTCCATAAACCGCGTTAAACATTATCTTATTAAAAGTTGATTTTTAGGAATTACATACTTTATTTAATCGACCGTCTCTGAGATGATCCAATCCACTGACCATGGCTGGAGATATTGGCACCGACGACCCATGTGGAAATTGTCCTAATCTGTCAAACGATGTCATTTTTCGCGATGATGACTGAAATCCCTTTGATATTGAAACACCCAGCGTGGTGAATTAAAAAAAATATTTGTCGAATTGTGACAGGGCGGAGCGTATTTACGCCAGTAGAAATGAACGACGACCGTTGAATGTCTAGTCTATTCAAAAAAACTCGTATGTTTTCTAACTGACAGCCGAAAGTTGAATGAATTCGTCACGTCAAGTGGCGATAGTCACCGGTGAAGGGAAAATATCACCTTACCGGCGTTCTCCTACCCGCTTAGTTTTCAGTCCCCACCACACCCGCACACTATATAGCTGTTGTTTATAGCCTCCCACAACAATATATAGAAGTAATAACAAGTACATGTGACCTGTCCCATAGAAACGCGTGCGCGTAGAAAATCATTACAGTGACGTCACTGAAAGCTTAGCTGTAACTTTATTTACTGTTATGTATTATTAATTGTTAAGAGGGAATTATCCCTAACTGAAATATAATATTTTTTCCTTTATTACAGTAATCACTCCATCGTATAAAATTTAATTACACAATGAAACAAAAAACTGTGTCATCTTCAGTATTCACTATAAATTTGGAGTCTGGATAATAATATGATAGTAAATAATTTAAAAATAAAATATATTATTTAATAAATTTTAAATAATTATTTTTATTAATTGATAAAGATTATAAACGTATTTATTGCATTTGCATAATACTACACAAACTTTATACTTGGTGCATTTTAAATAAAACTTTGATACAAATTTAACATTTAATTATTTTATTATTATATAATATATTAGTCAATTAAATCATTAAATCATCAAGTTATTTTAATTAAACCTATTATTGTAATCATTGCTAATTTACACTCTATAAAGAATGATATTTATTAATTTAAAATAATTTTAAAATATCAAAAGTGGTTACATTATTACTTTTTAAATTATAAAGAATCATAAACTATGTGGTAACAAATACACTAATATTATATTTATTGTAGGAGTCAAAAAGCGTTAAAACAAAATAGGTATCATTTTAGACTAGAAGTTAAAAATACTGTTAAAGTAAAATTTAAAAAATTTTCAAGTTTTATAATACTTATTAATATTGATAATTACTCTATAGTTTACCATTTTAATGTTTTTTTAAATGGTCACCAGAAAGGTCATGAAGTGATTTTGATTTGATGGGTTCTGTCTCTTCTGGCCAGCTATATTTTGGAGGTAATGGATTATCGTAATTGTAATCATACATCTGAGATTCAATAAACTTTCTCTTATCTTTTGGTTCAGGATAATGAGATGCAATACCTAATAAATCATATTTAGGTGAAATATTTTACAATACAATTTTGTAATCAAAGACATAACATTAAAATTAATAAATGAATAATTTTTTTACCTTTTTCATAAGCATACTCAGCTATTTTCATTGCTATTTGCAAAGAACACTCTTTAATTAAATTTAATGGTGGATAAATGCTACCTTTTTCTAAATCTTCCTCAGTAACAAAATTTGCCAATTCCTAGTAAGTATATTTTTTAAATAATCACTAGGTGTGATTTTAACTTAATATTTTTTAAAAATAAAAAATCAGTTTGATTTTTTCATACCTGTGATGCAATTAAAAATAAATCTTCAATAATATGATGAATACCAGTACTTATAACACCAAGAGCTACACCAGGGAATATATATGCATTATTTCCTTGGCCAGGAGTTATTGTGCGTCCATTAATTGTAACAGGTGGAAAAGGTGAACCACTTGCAAAAATACAACGACCCTATTATTTTAACATCAAATCAAATATATGTTAAGTCAACTAATATTTAAATATTATAATAAAAAAATAATTTTTATTAAATATGGTGATTAAATAATATAAATGTAAATTAACATATTTAATCTTAGTAAATCAATAGTTAATAGTAATCGTAAAATTATTGTTAATAATTCATGTAAAACTAATATTTAATGATCAAACAATTAATAACTTGCAAAAGTATCTAAAATTACAAAAAACTAGTTTTATTATATGATCTTAGGTATAAAATATTTTATTTGAGTATAATTATGTTCTTACTTGAGTATGAGTGTAAGCCTGTTCAGCAGTACATTCTGCTTTTGCAGTTGGATTACTAAGAGCAAAAATTATTGGTTTATCACAATATGAAGCAACATGTTCTAGTACTTCCTTGTTAAATGCTCCAGCAGCAGCTGCAGCTCCTATTAATGTAGTAGGTTTGATTTCTTTTATAACATCTATAAGATTCTTCATAACTTTATGATCTTTTGCATAAAATGCTTTATCTCCTTGTAAATTTCCTTCTGGACGATCCTTCACCAATAAGCCATCAATATCCATCATCCATATTTTACTACGAGCTTCCTCTAATGAAATACCTTCAGTCAACATAGCTCTCACAGTTAAATTAGCAATTCCAATCGCAGCCTTGTATAAAAATATATATGTTGTTTATCAAGCTTGGTTGAATTTAACAATGTTATTTTAAGTGGAAATATTTAAAATTGAATCTAAAACTCCTATAATAAACTTACTTCACCTGCTCCTAAAAATAAAAATGTTGACTCTGATATCTTCTTTTTTGTTAATCGGCGTGCAGTAAGGAGACCCCCAACTGCCACTGCAGCTGTTCCTTGAATGTCATCATTAAATGTACAATATTTATTACGAAACATATCCAAAAATCTAAATGCATTATGATTTCCAAAATCTTCAAATTGTATCAATACATTTTGACCATAGCGCTTCACCAACGCTTCCATAAATTCCTTAATAAATTCATCATATAATGGTCCTGAGATACGCTTTTGTCGAAGACCAATGTATAATGGATCTTCTAGAAGTTGCTATGATAAAAATATATTATTAATTAAAAAATATAAGGTATATTTTCAAAACAATGCTAACTTCGTTGTTTGTTCCAACATCTAATGTTATAGGTAAACATTGATGAGGTTTTATACCTGCCAATGCAGTATAAAGTGAAAGTTTACCAACCGGAATACCCATACCACAAGCTCCGAGATCCCCAAGACCAAGTATTCGTTCACCATCAGTAACAACAATAGCACGAACGTTAGGTTCTGGCCTAATCCCAAAAAAAACCATGCATAATAAATAGTCCATACACTATACAATAGAAAAACTTTTTTTTTTTTAAGCCTTATTAATTCAATTAAATATAATATAAAAATTTAGACGTATTAAAAGAATTCTTAAAGGGTTATTTTTTAAAAATAGTAAAGATTCATTTATTTTAATAATATTTATAAAATACTACCAAAATTCATTTTTTTTTTTAAGTTTAGTTTCTTATATAATTTTTTCATCAGGAATTTAAACCACGGATAAAATTTTTTAGTGATGAATAAACTTTTAATGTAAAATAAAGTAACTTATGGAATAAATACTTAATCTATATATAAGGGGTGTTAAATAATGAACCAGACAATTTTTTGGTTAATAAATATTTCAATAATATCAAGGGTTTAAAATTAAAGAGCGTGTCAACCAATTTCTGACTTTACAAGTGAAAAAAACTAGATTTTCATTCAAGATAAAGAAAAAACTTCATTTCTTTAAAAAAAATAATAAGCTTTTAAATATAATTAATTGTACACCATTTTCACATGAAAATATATTTTATAAATTGGTTAAAGTAGAATATTAATCGACAAATCTCAATTTTGGTACATTCATTTAATACTTGATCCTCGATAACAAATGAATTTATTATATTAATGAAGCACCAAAAAGGTTCTCACAAAACTATATCTTAAAGTACACTCAACATAATTAAATTGATAGATTAAAAGAAGTGGTGACTTTTATATTTTAATTCACTCTTTTGGGTAACTTTTTATAATTTTGGAAAAATATATCATAACACATATATTACACAGACAAATTTTAAAAATATACTCAATTTTTTTTTTATTTTCTCAGATATATATCTTTCTGCGCTAGGTAAGATGTTTTCAATATTTTTAAATGAAAACTACAAAAATGCTTGACATGGAAAAATAATTAATTAAAATATTTTTCAATAAAAATAGATAAATGCAATGCTTCTAATTACAATTTTTAAAACTTATTAACCAGAAAATTAAATTTTGTTAAATTACTTAAAAGATTTGAAGATATGACGTAATTTCAATAACAAAATGTTTATCTATAATAAAGTATATATACTATATACAAATGCAAATTTAATTAAAATGACACAGAGACAATTCAGATTGAATGACTTCAAATATAATGAATTAAATTTGAACGTTTCAGAAAAACTTACATGTAAAGCATTTCTTTTAAAATGTCTATATTTGTGTGTATTTACCATACAAATAATATTTCTGGAAAAATAAAATAAAATTTTAACTTAAAAATGACATTATAGATTTTTTTGAATAGCAGAAAATGTATTGTAATCTTCTAATTAATCAGAAACATTAAATCAGTTCAATCACTCTGGGGTTTAAAGTTATTTAAATCATAAATCAGATTAAATAATTCAAACTTAATATTAAAAACTATATCACACACCCAGATAAAAATTTAAAAAAATTTTTCATTTCATTAAAAGTCAGTCAAGTTTTTAAGAAATATTTTTAAGAGTTAATAGTTTTTAATATAAGCATATGGTTATTATTATATGATTAATTGTACCACTAGTAATAAAAATTTAATCAAGATTTAGTGCATAGCATTTTTACTTAAACAGTTATAAATTCAAAGTTTATATTAAACTATAATTTATATATAATACATTTTATAATAATAATAATAAAAATATTTTTATTTAAGATCAAAATTAACTAAATTGAACTTTTACTAACAAACGGGTACTAGAACAGTAACCCTAGCCACTAACCTATTTAAATCTCATATTATATGTTTTTTTAGTCGTTTTTTATTCAAGACAATAAGAATGTTATAGAGTTAGAATAGAAGCAATCAAATTTTTTTTCAATTCCCTAGAGTTAAAATTATGGTAAATTGCCACACCCATTCATTAATTAAAAATTCATGAAATAATTGTGTTAAAAAGATTAAGTAATGGGTTACTAATTTTTTTTAATTAAAANATTAAGTAATGGGTTACTAATTTTTTTTAATTAAAAATTGTCATATTTTACAAAAACATGAAAGTTAAATGAAATAATAGTGTATACACCATAAAACCGTTAATACTAAATTTTACCAGTTTTTTAACAAATCATAAATATGGCCTTTGTCATTTATAGTAATAAATAATCCTCTTGGACGACGAAATATAAGGCCGAATTTCTGACATGCTAATCCAACTGTAGGAGTATATACAATTGGTAATAGCATATGAATATTTTCAGAAAGTAATCTAAAGAAAAGTCTTTCATTTCTGTCCTAAAATAAAATTATAAAAATTAATAATTGTATAAAATTATTTAAAAATAACTTACTTGCAATTCAGTCAAGTATAAAAATTTATTTAAATCTTCTTGATATTTCATAACACTAAATCGACATACTTCAATTTGTTCTTCTTGAGTTTTAAATTTTGGTGGCATTAAACCATGAATTCCAAGTGCTTGTCTTTCTTCTAAAGTAAATGCAAGACCTTTATTTAAACGAGGATCTCTAATGTAATCAATTCCTTGAACTAAAGACGGACATATGATATCTCCAGGGGTATGTGATGGGAATGAAAAATGAAATCCACGACATGATGAACGGTCAGTGCTAGCACAAAATAATGCTAAGTTTCTTGAAACTAATTTTGAGCTGTAGCTTAAAATATTTTAATAAATTTTATAATTACTCATATTTTATTTTAAAATAAATTTACCTTATTGTTTTAGGTAACACATTCATTTTTTCAATTATAGATGGCCAATTTTAAAACAAGATTACTGAATTTAGTTGATGAAATTTTGTAGCCTTGTCGGCCAATGATAATAAGTACTTACTATGTATTACTTAAAGATATTTAAGTGGACTACAAAGTACCTGATATTATCACAGTATGAAATGCTATTTGCTAGCCGGCTTATCAATTATTACTTTATCTTTAAGCTTGCGCAAGCTATGGTAATATTATTGATATTGACACAGGCGGCTACGAAATTTCACAATAGGCGTGCAAGAGATGAACAGTTCATTAGTAAATCACTTTAGTTCACATTAGTGATTTTACGTTTAATTTTTTTGTTTTATCTGATATTCAATAAACATTCTTTGATGGTTCATTACTAAGACTTAAAATTATCTTTTCATTATCTCTTTGATAGAATATTAAATAACCATTAATTAGAATTTTTTTTGCAAAATTTCATAATATCAGCTGTTCTGATCATTGATTGTACACTTGTACCACAGATAAGATAAAACAAAATAAAATACATTTTTTATGTGATCTGTACTTATACCTTCATCGAATAATAAAATTTTGACAATATAAAACAATAGAGTCAGTCCGTCACGGTCGACCGTAATACCTATCTTTTTTTTGGACCCTCTGTAGAGAATTTTCACTCCAAAAAAAACGATTGCACAGTATGGACATGGCTTAGTTGGGACAAGTATATATTATATCTCATAGTGATTAAAATAACTATCATAAGAAAAGCGCTGATGCAAATCTGTACATAGTGTTTAATTTTATGAAATTGATAGATTATTAAAAAAACTACACGAACTCTTACTTCCTTATTTATATCCTAATTTTGAAGTATAATATATGAATAGATATTTATTATAGCAATTAAATTGTCGTACGTCGGTAGTACCCCGACGTAGACACAAAAAGTAATGCACAAATTAAATAACGTTTTCAGACGACGAGTTTATCGTTTTTAGCTTTTCTCGAGTCCTTCCGTTGGATACGCTGGTCAGTCCCAATCCCTCCAATTAGTGAACTACTAAAGGGGTAGAGTTTAGACCCGTCAGCACGATCTAGCTCAAGAGTAGCACACTGAGGGGTGGCTTCTTGTCAACCACCAGCACAACTACCTTTTCACTGTATCTACTAAAAGACGGTTAAGCCCAAAAACTAGCCAGCACGTACACTAATTGTTATGATTGACTAAAGGATCAGTAGTCCAATCTCGACTCTTGTCGCACACACACAAATTTTAATAACACGACGGTTGTAAAGTATTTACTCTCGAGTACAGATTTTTAAATAATTATTTTATTTATATAACGTAAAAACACAAAGTCAAAAAATATAACACAAAATTAATTAAATCGTATAGAAACAAAGTTACTCGCACACCAAAGACCTAACCCGTCACTCAACATTCCTTCGAAAAAACGTCCAGTACCGTCAAAATCTCCCTCAGTCCTTATCATGTTTCCCTGTTATATTCTTTTTCCCACCATTATTAATTTGCTTAGCCTGCATTTCCCTTGTATATGACATTATTTTATTGCTTGAGAATTTAAAAATTGCTTACTACTGTCTTAATTCCCGTATCATACTAAAATCGACGTTATTCAGCTATTTACTACAAAATATAGTATGAGATTGATATTTAATAATTTAGTATTTTTATTTTTTTTGGAGAATTTATAAAAATTTATTAAATAGTTATTACTTTTATGGCACACGTGAATAAAAATTAAAGGCTTGATATAAAACTATTTAGAAAATGATCTGATAATTAAGAAAATATGGTTTACAAGTAATTTTCATGAGATAGAAAATTAACACAATTTCTAAACCTATTTTTACACCTATTTCAAATCTGTAATTTTAAGTTGTGAATATTTCAATTGTAGTATTTATTTAAATACCAAGAATTACGTAGAAATTATTACTAGGACTTCTATTTAAGTGATTTATTACGATAAAAATACAATAAAATAGTGATTTTAACGACATATTGAGCTTTAATTAAAATTATTCATAATTTTATGATCCACATAAAATCTTCTATTTAATGACAAAAATGTTGATGATTTTATTTAATAAAATGATTTCTTAAATATTGCAATTGCTTATAAAATAGTCAAAAAATATCTTGGACTATCATTAAAATAAAAAGTAGACTAAATATTATAAAACAAATTAAAATTTTCATCCTCCAATTGTATTAAAGATAAAAAAATTATTTAAAGCAAAAATGTATATCAATATTTTACAGGAGACCAAACGTTTATATATATTATAATTTAGAAATTAAGTTAAAAAATAATAATAATAGTAAAATTGTCTACCATAAAGTATCGAATTTGTTAATTTTTCTTTGAAAGATTGATTATCTTATGTAGATTGCTTTTGAACTATAATTTAATCAATATTAATTACAATATTTAGTATAAAATAAAATGTTAAAAGAAAATTTAAAACTCCCATCAAACATAACAACAATTTCTAATAGTTGCTTAAAAAGAATAAAACGGAAAGACTATTATATTATAGTAAAAGTAGTAGTTGAATAGTGTGTAACACACAATTGCCTAAACTGATGATATAATAAACAGCATATATTTTATTAAAACAATATTATTTACAATACTAATGGGCGATAAATAACAAATAGAAAAATAACTCAACCGGAATTATTAATAGCAATAATTTTCGTATATTTGAGCGACAAATTCAAACAACCGTTTTCAGCAGACGGGATAAAATATTTTAAAAACGGCGATAAATTCAAATAAAATGTAAGTCAATAATTAAATTGGCAACGTCTGACATTCATTAGCGTTAAAAACGATTGCAAAGCTCTGTCCCTTTTATGTATACAAATTTATGGAAGCAACGTTGTCAGTTTGCTTATAGACTTAATTCTTACCCGCGGGACACGAAAGAACGCAACTGACTATTTAATAATCTAGAGTCTTTTTTTGTATCTTACGATTTGGTCACTGAGTTACATTCTCTCATGCAATACATTCTTTGTATTGTATATTTATGACACTTTTATTTTGTTCATAGGATTATTTGAATTTGTCGCTCTTACTAATTAGCTCGATTGACTTCAGTATTTATTTTCTCAAATATCTGTCTATCAAATTCAAAATAATCGATGAATTTGTCGCCAATTTGTTGTGTAGTTTTCAATATATTGCTTTAATATATTTAAACGTTTATGACTATTTTTATTATTATATACGTTTCTCGCCCGCGCATTTCCATTTTCCTAAGTATTTAAATACTAATAATATTCGAAATACTGGTCCAATAATGATTATTATCTATCGGTCATTTTTTTAGTTAGACCATTTACTATTATGTAAATAAATAAAAAATTTATATTGCCATCTATAAAAACGGTAGCACAGTGGGGTCGAGGCACAGTGTGGACGAGGCATAGATGGGACAAGTATAGATGATATCTGACAGTGATTAAAATCACTATCATAAGAAACGCTTCGATGCAAATCTGTAGATAGTGTTTCATTTAGAGAAATTGGTGGATTATTCCAAAAGGAACATCAACTCTTATTTCTTTAATTATATCCTGATTAGCAGTTCTTTGATTTTAAAATATAATATATGAATAAATACTAA